AATGTCTACGCTAATATTTATCCACACTTTCCTGAGAACTAGCTAAATTGAATTTTTTAAATTTAGAGTTAGCGTGATCTGAATTTGAATTGCTTTAATTAACTTCATTTCAACTGAATGGGATTGCAAACCGTAATGGTATAACTTGTGTTTGATGAAGCAATATTTGCAGCTAATGTATATTTTTTGCGTGTATTTTGTTGTCGTGCCATTGCATGAATCGGAAAATTTTCCCATCCGTGCACCCTGCAGATGTCTTCCAAGAATTCATTTACTTTTATTCCTCTTGCACTAAGTTCAATAGTGTTGATGATCTACCGGTTGTTTGTAACACCTAAAACTAATCGGAATTTAAGCTATCTAAATAATCAGGGTAACGATTCGATTTAAATTTCGGTTGCCTGTTTTCAGTCTATCCGTGCAAACGACAACTTAAATAAAATTGATTTATAAAAATCAAATTTTTATATTCACCGTTTTAGTTAAGAATTAAAGACGCTTTGGCCTCTAAATAACCAACCATCTTTAGCGACATAATGTGTTATAAGTATATATGAAAAGATAAAAAAAATTTTAATTATTTTTCTAATCAAAATTAGATTATTTTGGTTCACTGTATATGTATGTATTTTTGTATGTATATCAACATACTAATAAACGTATTTGAACATATGGTACATACGAACTAACATGTTTACATCAAGTACATCAGTAAACCAGTGTATCGGATATGATATACAGGCAGATCACTGTCGAACATTTCAATCCGACTACTTTTGGGCGTGAGACCGCATACCTTAAATACACTTTGTGCGCATTGTTTTGTTTCGATAACGTCATTAGCTCTCGCTTTTTATAGTGTAAAGTGAAAGAATCGTATGGAATTTAAAATTGTGGTATATGGGAAGTAGGCGTAGTTGAATCCCGATTTCGATAATGTCATGAACATAATTTTAGTGAGTAGTAGTTCCTGAGATACGGGATTTTATCAAAAGGAGGACGTTGACACACCCTTTGTCGAATTTTGACACCGACACCTATGAGGCTCCTCCTTGTCAAGAAGGATGTGAAATTTAATGATTCGGACTTATTTAGTGAGTTATCGCAGTTTTCAACTTAACTGTTATATGGAAAGTGGGCTTGGTTTTGTCTAATGTCATCTAATTTCACAAAGTTTAAAGAAATTCTAGACTTCTCAGCAATTTTGATTTAAAAAACTTTAGTAATTTTATGCAAGTTAAACCTAGTAGATGGCGCGTCGCACCCACATTAAAAAAAAAATTTAAACGAAAGATTCTCATTCATATTCCGATGCCTTGCATGAAATTACAATTTTGAATCTTAATTTGTGGCTTAGTTATAGCAATTTATAAGTGTGTACTAAGTTTCGTTAAGATATCTCAATTTATACTCAAGTTGCAGGTTGCACAGACGGACGGACAAACAGTCACCCGAAATTCAACTCGTCTTGTCATCCTGATCATTTATATATGTATAACTCTATATCTATCTCAATTAGTTTTAGGTACAACAAACAACCGATAGGTGAACAAAATTATTATACTCTGGATCAAATCACACAAAATTTACAATAACTCAGAGGTGATACTGTCTAATTATCATTTAAAAATGCAAACAGCTTTTGTTTTTAAATAAAGCTGTAACTTACTTAACTTTAACTTTAACTAACGTACTTAACTTTTCTTGAGAGACGGGGATCAACAAACGCAAACTTAAACACACTTTTCTTCAATTCATTTTTTAAAATGTTTTTGTAATGCTCTTTCGTCATCACCCCATTGAAAATGGGCAGCTCACCAACTCCTTTAGAAGATGCACACTTTCAATCCATAACAGAAAGATTTCCAAACATTATTGTTGTCTTCAATATTCTTTTGTCGTTTCAACGGTTTCTTTAGCTTTGTTGGCATGGTTGTTATTAGTTTCCCGCTTTTCACTTTTTACAAAAGTAACTCTAGTTTCTACAACATCGGGATGTTCGAGGTTTTTTCGCGTAGAACTCCTTTATGCGTTGGCTCCTTTGACCGCGGTGGTTTTCCGCTTTAGATTCTCGGGGTAACTCGAGCTCTTCGTCTGCAAATGGTGGTGCTTTAACTTCAAGTACGCCATTCACGGGAGAAAATCGGTGAAGGGTCCACAATGACTAAAGTAAGTTGTTTTTGCGGCCACCATTTTTCCAGCCGGGATAACGCGAGAGGTAGCAGCTGCAATCACCTTGCGGAATTGATGTTCGCCAACGATTACGTTCGTAGAACTTACAGAGTGAAAGTGGGGCGTTTGTTGCACTGTGGTGTTTGGCGACGCCACTCACGCGTGGTTCCGCTGGCCATAACACGATCGCTCTGTCAAACTTTGAGAAACCAGGAGTTGCCGAGTGATTCTCGCACAAGGATTGGTGTGTGTTGAAGGTTGGAACTGATCAGGCAGTGCGCGAACAAAAAAAAAACATGTAAGGAAGGGCAAAGTTCGGGTGTAATCTAACATTTCATATTCTTGCAATTTGTGAATTTCAAAACCGGGGAAATACTGTTTGGTTTTAGTAAGACTATAGTACAGAAGAGCTAAGTTCGGATGTAAGCGAACATTTTATACTCTCGCAATTTTCAAAGATCAAAACCGGAGGCATTTTATCAAGTGTGGTAAAACTTTATACTAAACAAGTAAGGAATGGCTAAGTTCGGATGTAACCGAACATTTCATACTCTCGCAAAGTTAAATGCTATACTCGTTTGATATTTCTTTGTGGATTGACTGATATTTTCGGTAGAAGGTCAACTATAGGCACTGGGGTCCACATATTTAGTACTTAGGGGCTTGAACAGTTTCGGTTCGATTTAGACAATTTTTGGTCACAAGGTGGCATACTTTAAACGTATTATTCACGCAAAGTTTTACCCCGATATAATCATTGTTGCTTGACATGCATAGTGGGAAGTGAAAGAATCAGATGGAATTGAAAATGGTGTTATATGGGAAATAGGCGTGGTTGTAATCCGATTTCGCTCATTTTCGCACTATAACATAGAAATATAAAAAGAAGGTTATGCGCCGAATTGGGTTGAAATCGGTTAAGCAGATCCCAAGATATGGGTTTTCACCTAAAAGTGGGCGGTGCCACGCCTACTGTCTAATTTTGAACGCGGTTCCTATAAAGTCATCTCATACCATCCCAAAGATAAAATTTAATGTCTCTGGCGTGTTTAGTGCTTGGTTCATCGCGCTTTTAGTATTTTTTAACAGTACCGTTATATGGGGAGTGGGCGGGCTTGTCACCCGATTTCACCCGTTTTCACACCGTCAATAGAAGTGCTAAAAACATTCGCTTCCAGTGAATTTTGTTATTATAGCTTTAGCGGTTTAGGAGATATGCACATTAAACCTATTAGGGGCGGGACCACGCCCACTTAAAAAAGAAAATTTTAACTGTAGATGCCCCTCCCTAATGTGATCCTGTGTACTAAATAACAACTTTGTATCTTATTGCGGAGCTTAGTTATGGCAATTTATTTGTTTTTGATTAATGGCGTTTTGTGGGCGTGGCAGTGGTCCGATTACGCCCATCTGCAATACCAACCGTCTCACGGTACCAAGGAACATGTCTACCAAGTTTCATAAAGATATCTCAATTTACTCAAGTTAGAGCTTGCACGGACGGACAGTCACCCGGACAACTCGTCTCTTCATCCTGATTATTTATATATATAATATATAACCCTATATCTAACTCGATTAGTTTTAGGTACAACAAACAACCGTTAGGTGAACAAAACTATTACACTCTATAGCAACAGGTTGCGAGAGTATAAAAAATGTTGAGAAAGTATTAAACATGCATTATTAAAAGAAATTGTGATTAAATTACAATCATATTTTCTATCTTATTATCTTATATTATAGGAGATAGACACTTAGTTTCGTTACTACATTTTGCTTCATGTATAGGATATTTGTATTAAAGTCAACTTAATTATTTCATATGGCATACATACATATATGTGATCTAAACTCAACCAAAGAGTCTAAATTTAATATACGGAGTATCGGAAATCATTACAATATGAATATGAGGTTTAACCAAGATCTACAAGTAGATCAATTTCTTTCACTCACACACTGATTGACATAAGAAATCTACTAGTTACGTGTTAAAGTTAAAGTTTTGTATATTATAGTAAGAACGATCCAATTAGGTCAAATAAGCACCGTTTTGTTCGATAACTGGTTGCCATTTTGAAAGTAATTTCATACTGCTACACTCATGGTAACTCACTCATACTTCTTTTAGTAAAAAAAATTAAATTGTCGTCCCTATTGGATAAAAACTTGATTTCCACAAGCTTTTCTGGAGGTGAATTTTTCGCCAGCAAAATCATTCGCCATAGACAGGAACAGGTAGTAATCACTTGAGCTTGATTAAGAAGCTCCCAACCAAATTCTCTGCCAATCCCACCAAACACATAGCAAAACCTAGCTGACCATCTGGCTTCACCACCATTATCCCCACTTTTGATCACCAGTATCCATCCGCCTTATTTAAATGGTTCCAAGCCTACGGACAATAAACACTATACAACTCTTCAATAGCTTTGCTTGCGTTTCGAAGAAAAACTAAAAGATGTTTTTTCTTTTTTGCTTATGTTCATCTATATCAAACAATACTGATGTATGTAAGCAGTCACAAAACTGTCTAAACTGTTTTTTAGAGAAAGAGAGACTAAAACCATATATTGGGAAAATAATGGATCTCTTTTTACAAGATCATATTGGACACCTACCTAATTATTTTGTCTGTTCGACTAAATATAGACTTACTTTAGAGAATTAAAAAAAATTAAATTTGGATTATTAAGCAACAACAAACATTTGAATATTTTAAGCTAAAGCTTTAGTGATCCAAAGCGGGATTTTAGATGCTCACATAAGGAAAAAAATAACAGTTAGCTGAAAGTTAAATTTTTTGTTTGCTTGTATGCTTTCAGATTTGCCATTTTGCTCTTGGATATTTTTTACGCCATTTTAAGGTAGCTGCACATTTTATTTCTTAATTGACCCTTGACCATCTACACAGAAGTTTTTAATATAATCTCAACACTAACTAACACACCACTTTTGAAACTTACTACAAGGCACAGTCGGAAGAATTTTGGAAGATTGGAATTAAATAGAAAACACAATTTTTAGTCTTTCGATTGAAATTTTTTTATTGAATCATAAAGTACATAAGATAGGGTTATTTATGAACATCACGCAAATGGCCTACACGGCTTTTCATATGCATACGCAGTTGCTTGTCAAAATTTTCCATGACTGTTCCGCATGAATGTGGCTGAATTTTATTGATTCAACGTTGAACATCCTGCTTTGAAGCCCGCGTGGTTGTGGGTTTGTTGTAATATACCTGTGATTTCAAATAACCCGATAAAAATGAATAAAATGGTGTTAAATCACACGATCTAGGGGGCCAATTCTGATCACCTAAACGTGAGAGTATACGATCGGGAAATGCCTTATGCAGTTATTGAAGTGTTTCACGGGCTGTATGACATGTGGCACCGTCTTGTTGAAATCACATACCTTATAAATAACATCTAATTTCGGCAAAAAAAACTGTGCTAACATGTCGAGATATCGAGCACCAGCAACAGGCACTGCTTGACCAGCCTTATTTATAAAAAGTGTAGTCCAATTATTCCTCCAACCCAAAATCCCCACCAAACAGTGACACGTTGTGGATGCAATTGTTTTACGACAATCACCTCAAAAGCGGCAATTTTGGCGATTTTGCTCGATGACAGCTATTATAAAAGGTAATTTATCTAAATTTGAAGTAAAATCCAGAAATATCAATTCGTGATTTGCAACACTTAAATAATATGTATTTTATTGAATTTGAATGCGTAAAAACACAGCTCAACTGACTACACTTGTATCATACCATCATTAGTAAAATATATTTGTTAGCATTTAATTCACTTGAATTATGGATATTATGAATGGACAACTCGTCAGAAAAGGCAAATCTCGAATTTTATTAAACAGCTTGCAAAGTTAAATGGTCCTGATATCGACCATCGGAAGTACAAATTCAGTTCTAAAATGTATACTTTACTTCCCATCTGTTTGCACAAGTACACGACACATCGTTCACCCGCTGCTCAAACTTCTTGCGAACATCAATCATAAAGCAGTGTACATAAATAACATGTACACGACACATCGTTCACCCGCTGCTCAAACTTCTTGCGAACATCAATCATAAAGCAGTATACATACCGAGGTTACAGTACGTTTAACAATGAAAGGTAACTTTATTGTTTTTAAATAAACATTATTAAAACTAGTAAGGAAGGGCTAATTTCGAGTGTAACCGAACATCTTGTACTTTCGCAAGGTGTAGCCCAAACTATATATGTTGCGTAAAAATTCAACATGCATTATTCGAAGAAACCGAATGAATTATAATCAAATTTGGTATCTAATTAAACTATGGGGCGGTGGGGGGTGTTTTCAATCTATGAATTTTTTTTATATATTTTTTTTTTATATAATTTTCAAAGGCTTCTGCACTTACTTGCCACGATGGTTGTAACACCCGAAAGGAAACGTCAGAGGCCTTATAAAGTATATATATAAATTATCAGCGTGACGAGCTGAGCCGATTTAGCTATGTCAGCCTGTATATATGCGAAACAAACTGAACGAAAATTTGGCATGGATTATTGCTTAAAGCAATGTTGCAGTCTCTAAAAGTCCTGTTTGGCATCCTTACGTTGTCAACTATATCACGCAACTTTACTTTCGGATCATTTAGAAGGATTTTATGGACTTTTTTATGTTTTCTTGTGTTACAGCCTCATTTGGACACTAACTGTGTTTTGAATCATTGGTGTCTCTACGACCAAGTTTGAAGTCAGCAAACCAACGTGTTATTATAGTTTCTGATAGTGCGGAATCCCCATATCACTTTTCAATCCATTGCTTCGCTTGAACTGTATTTTTTCCCTTCAAGAAGCAGTGTAAAATTAAAACACGTAATTGTTTATTATACATTGTTTTTAAAATAACAAAAAAAATAACTCACAAACTAGTGAATAGAATGTCATGAAATTTTAATAGCTGTCTTTTAAAGGTTAGTACTAACTGAAAATGAGGCGAATTCAATAAAACTAGCGCCATCTATGTGTGAGGCCCGGGTGTTATTTTCACTATTTTCACGAAATTTTGCGCGTCATGCAAACTGACCGAACAAAGTTCTTGTGAGGAATATTTTTCATTTGTGAAGGGTATCGGTGCAACCGAAGTTAACGTATTGTTCTTGTTGTTTTCTGTCTTAAGCTAAATACATATGTATATGTGTATATTTTTATGTTATGTTGTAGTGTAATGTCATTATCTATGTTATGTGATACGAATTTATTTTAGTTTGTACACATTAGGTTATGATTCTTGTGTGCATCTTAAGTAAATATATTTTATTGAATGCATGCGTATTGGATGTAAATGCATATAAGTTTTTATGCGGTTGTTTATAAAATATATATCTATGTGTGTTTTGTACTGCCTCGACATTGTATAAGATAACCATCTTCGTCGTAGACTTTAAATTCCACATCAGTATTTTTACACGGTGCTTTCAGCTCCAAAGCAATTGGCATAAAATCCTTTGGGGCAATGGACACGGTCGGATATAAACTCGTATTCATTAATTTATCAGTTTGTTTATTGATAACTTTGATAGGGCTGATAAGGTCTTCCTTGCAGGTACAGACGCGAAATTGGTTTTCATCAGTGAGATTTTCCATTTCAGTTATATCGCGTCCCGTACTTGTTGACTGCTTGTAATCGTCTACATAATCTTCTTCTTCTTTTTCAGTGAGATTTGGATTTTGCTTATCTGAACTTCCTTCTCATGTGCTTCATCTCTGTCTACTAAAATGGAATCGATTATTTCAGCTTCGTCCTCAACTTCAAGCACTTCAATTTTAACCCCAGTTTCTCACATTTCTCTAAAATGTGAGCCTGCCGAGGGAGTAAAATTACAAGTTATTTGTTCATTAGACACTTTATCTGCCTTTTTTCAGAACTACCAAAATGTTCTTGTTTGTTTAAAATTTCAGCCTTAACATTTTGAACTTAAACTGCATCGGTAGTCGTTTTAATTTGTGCATCTTCTAAAGCTTTTTGGGATATCATTAACAAATCAGCTGATTGTTATGTTTTCGTTTGGACCTTTGTGCCCATTTTCTAACGTGTTTGTGTACGAACATCTCCTGACATTGTATCGGACGTCTCGATAACTACTTCACATGGTGTTAGATACATAGATAGATTGAATAGAGGTATGCACCGCGACCTATGGTCACAATTCCCACAACAGGCGGTTCTCCGTTGCCGGAATTGAACCGGATTTTATCCGGCCAAGGGCTGTTATTTCGGCGATCTAACCCTGTTTCGATCGGTAAGTTTTAGTTTAAGTTTGTCGTCATTAAAGCAACGCCTAGCAGCAGGGTTGCTTTGTATCCTCCTGACCGTGCTGGAATTCTTCTGCTGCATTTGCGCTAAAAGGCTCTATCCTAACTCCACCTCGGTTAGGTGCAATACATGGAATGGATAGATCCATCTTAGCGAGTGGACCACGAGTTACGCACGCTGCCAACGCGCTACTGCGACACCTGCCTCAATCTGCACCATGTTCGCGCACTGCGCCGCCACTCCAGTCGAGTGGCCAAGAAAGGACCTCCACGACCTTAAGGAGCTCACACAGGCGGCATGACTCCCAGTCTGACCAACCCCCTCCCCAACCTTCGTCCCGCTCCAATCCTCGTGCGAGAACCACTCAGCAACTCCAGGTTCCTCGTACAGTCTGTTCCGTGTGTCAGACCGTAATACGCCGAAACGTCACATCAGTCAAGTGGAGTGCGTCATATGTTGCCCCATGCTGTAGGAGTCTGCCCCCGCAATCCCGTTTAGTGGCGTCGCCAAACACACCACAGTGCGACAAACGCCTCTGCGGGTTCGACAGCTGCAACAACCACCACCTACACGCCACTCTATCACTCCCAGGTTCACGCTTAAACACCCGCGACAAACTCGAATTTTACAACAACGGACTCTGGAGTAAGATCGAGAAGATAGTTGCTAAACTAAGTTAAACAGCCGCTCAAATCTTCTGAGCTGTGCAAGTTTTAACTTTATATGTAAGAATCGTGACCGAGATAATGGTGGAGGCTTAGCCTTCATACTGCACAACACAGTGCGTCTTATCGATGGCGGCATCGACCTCAGGGATACTTCCATTGAATGTCAGGGCATAGCTAACCGGTCAGGCGATGACGAGGTCGAAATATTTAATATATTTGTACATCTCCCCAGTTACATGTTACCTACCTGGACATGGTGCGCTACTTAGTGGAGAAAACCGTTTGATACTAGGCGACTTTAATAATCACTATGATCTTTGGCACTCACGTTAGTCCCATAGTGAACGAGGTTGGAGCTGGCCCCCACCAGAATTATGGACGCTTGTAATAGCCCGCCAGATATTACCATCGGTAGCGGTTGTCTGATAAATAGCATAATCTGGCGACCTATGCTAACTCTCGCATCAGACCATCTGCCCATAATTATCTCGATCGAGAAACCTCCCGACTTTACTTTTACAACTTTAACAAAGCTAACTGGGTCGGCTTCACAGAATTTACCGAGAGCACCTTCAACTCACTACCCATCCCTACGGAAGTCATCGTTGACGAGCGTCAATTCCACAAGGTGATCGCTGCTGCTACCGCTCGCTTCATACAGGCTGGAAGAATCGCGGAACTACGCCTTAATTTCTCAGCTGAAGCAGCTGTATTAGCAATCGAGCGCGATACTATACGCTATGCTGATCCCTGTGATCCCCGAATAAAGGATCTCAATTTGGAGATTCGGTAAATGGTAAATCAGCATAAGCGGACAAAATGGATAGAGCATCTGAAGTGCTGCAACCTCTACACCGGTGTGAGTAAGCTTTGGACTACTGTCAAGGCCTTGTCTAATCCGAGGATACATGACGACCGGGTTGAAATTCAATTCGATGGCCATACCTCCTCGGACCCGAAGAGGTGCGCGAGCTATTTTAGACGACAATTTACACTGCGGAAAATGCCAAAAGCTTTCACCGATGGGGAGATTCAGAGTGACATCAAAAAGACGAAATCGTCTAAATCCATCGGCCCTGACGGAATAAGCATACTGATGCTAAAACATCATTCACTCTTCAAATACCCGATGTGTGGAAAGTTGGAAGAGTGGTCCCAGTACTGAAACCTGGGACACCCGCCAATAAAGGGGAGTCTTATCGTCCGATAACTCTCCTTTCACCTGAGTCATTGGCTACCAAAAAATATACAGCACTTAGCGTCATAAACGCTCACATAGTTCATTGCCTAAACCAGAAGCCACCCTGCGAGAAGACGATCCTCGTAGCGTTTGACCCATCAAAAGCTTTTGACACAGTCAACCGCACAAAAATCCAAACTTAAAAGAATTAAATAGGGGGTTCCACATAGTGGTGTCCTCTCCCCGCTACTCTTCATTTTCTACAACTCAAAACTCCCCCAACCACCAGAGGGAATTTCCGTGACCTCGTACGCTGATGACTGCACGGTATTGACGTCGGGTAATGTAATCGATGGCATGTGCTCGAAAGTAAACGGCTATGTCTCCGAATTTTATCTTGAGGTGGGCAGGGAAACTTTAAATTTCCGGCGGCTATAAATATATATATTCGTGATCTGGAGAATCTCCTTTATCCAACCATACCCTTTTAACCTGAAATCGTGGGATGGTATACTAAACCCGACCCAAAAATAATAAAACAAATTTTCTTCCCAAAAAAAAAACATATTTTTAATTTTTAATTCCATCTACCGGATTAAAAAATAAAAAAAACAAGCAACCAAAAATAAGTTCTTTTAGAGTTAACATTTTTTCGCGTTCAATCAAATAATAAAAAAACTTTTAAATATTTAATTTCAAACATTTTGGATTAAAAAATAAAAAAGTAATTTTTAATCGCAACATCGGGATTTTTTTTTAATTAAATAATTCGCTCTATTTATTGGTTAAGTACATTAAAAACACACATTTTAAGATATGTTCTAAAAAAATTTGACCATTTTTCAGAAAAGCCACTGTTCTGAACAATTAGCATTAATTCATTGCAAAATGAATAACAACATGAAATTTCAATTTTAGTCCTAATTAACAGAAAGAAATTCCTTAGTTTTATTTTTTAAATAAATTTTAAAACAGTTCCCAC